GGCTCAATTCCCCATTATAACACCCAATTACTTTCTCTCCCTCCCACAATACCCTTTTCTCCCTCTCACATAACAGCGTCCATTAGTGCTCTCTACCTTTATTCTGACACAAACTCTCTCTCTCTCTCTCTCACACACACACACACACACACACACAAAACAAACACACACACACAGGAATTAAGGGAGTTAAACCTGATGACGTTAAAGGAAAGAATGAATAGGTGTGATATAACAACGTACAAAATATTGAGACTAAATGACACGGTGGACAGGAACAGATTACTCGAGAAACTGGAAACAGGAACACGAGGAAACAACTGGAAGTTGAAAACACAGACGAGTCACAGTGATGTTTGGAAGTATTTCTTCAGTCTTAGAGTAAAAGGAAGTGAAACGACCTGGCCAGTGGAGTGGGCCAAAAATAGGTTTTAAAAGTAGTTCGATAAGGCTCTCGAAGCCAGGAGAGTGAACCCAGTAGTGGCTAACGAAGATACGGGGCCAGAAGCTGAGACAACCTCAGCAACCACGTAGAGGTGAGTATATATATATATATACGAACAGAAAAAAATATTACAAATAAAAATCATTGACAGAGAAGGAAAATAATTCCTTCACGTACACAAACAGTATTTTTCTGTTTAAACACGAAGAACAAATGAATATAAAATTCACCATAGTAATTGCCCTTATCTTTTGTGAGCTCTGTGGGTATCCTGGTCTCAAGTTTTCATTCAGGGAAGTTTCTTCAAATACCTTAAAGAAAAGTATGTGTGTGATTATTTGCCGCCTGCTGTTCTTTAATGAAGTTTTTGCTCTTCTTGTTCTCGCACTCTTTAATAAGTACCATACCTCAAGGTAACTACAATCTGTATTTTATACACACACACACACACACACACACACACACACACACACACACACACACACACACACACACACACACTACAGTACAGTCACTTAAGGCCAGCAAACTCGTTTAACTACAAATTTCCAGGACCAACTGCTTATCGCTGCGTACAGAAACAGACTTTCTTTATTAGGAATTTATAGATAAAAATTCTGAACGCATGAGCAAAATCCATTGTGGAACATTTTATGGTTTCGCGGCTATCAGCTCAGTAAACATTACTTCATAGAAAATAGGTTCGCACTCTTTATACAACACTATTGAAATTTCTGAGTATGAGAATCTGGTTTGCTTAGTTTTGCATTTATCAACATTCGCTGCTGCCTGCCAGTTCACATACATTTGTATTGTAATTAGAGTTAGCTTTTTGACGTGTTAATACACAATGTGTATTAGAGAAATATATTTCTGATATTTTTAATAAATATTAATAGACATAAAAAAATTTTAAATATTGTTTATTTATGAATACAGTTTCGTAATTTTATTAATGTTTAGATGTTTGATAGAAAATATACAGTTAACACAGCCATAGGAACAGTATCACCATCTCGCGTCACTTTGTCTCTCTTGTAACGATGCACAATGATACTGGCTCGTTCTCATTCTTAATAGATGTTTTACTCTCATTTTACTTTTTTTGTGGAAATACTAAGATACAGATCTGACTGAAACCTACAATTATGAGAGTATAAAGGGCCATTATTATGATTATTATATTAAAAAAGAAAGCCCTATAGCTGCAAAAGTCACAATACTTGAAGAATGAGAATCTACGGCCTTCTAAGGCTTTAATCTAATCTTGTTTGCAGGCCTGGCTTCTGGTGTGGCGACGGTGTTGGGCTGGAGATGTATTACTCAGAGACTCCCTCTGTCTCCGTCATCATCACACGGCTTCCCACTGACAATGACCTCACCGCCCTCGACGCCTTCTCCAGTATCTACGTCAAGATGTCTTACAAGTTCCTGCGTCGGGAATCGGCGGTGGTGAGGTATGGGAAACCGACAGAGCCAAAGTACTTGGGACTGCGAGATAAAACAACAGTGTGTGACGCCCTCTTCACTAATTGTGACCAACGGCCATGCTTCGTACAGTCTCCGAACTTTCCCGGGATGTACCCGAGAAACACAACGTGTTATTACACTCTCAGCCAGACCAGGTCTCCACCAGGCAAGAGGGCCGTGATCTCCCTCAGCCAGGCGGATGGACACTTGGTGCACGTTAAGAGTTTGGTTCAACCCCATGACACCACCGAGCGTCACCTTAAACTCTATGGAGACTGTTACTACGTCGGCGACTACGTGCGTGTATACGACGGTAACTCCACCACCTCTCCAGTTTTAGTCACTTTCTGCCGAGGAGACATTGTCCCTGAGATCGTATCCTCAGGGCCAGATGTTCTAATTGAGTTTACAACTTCACCTTACGACTACCCTCATCATGAAGCGCCCTGGACGCATGTCGCGGGGTTCGAACTACGAGCTGAGGCGCGTTTCATACCCACGGCTTCCATTGGGGAAGATTGTCGAGTGGAAATCCGCAGCAGCGACAATAGCACCGGCTGGGTGGAGGGTGCTACCCACAGTGTGCCGCCGAATACCACCTGCGTATGGCAATTCCTGGGCTCACATGGCCAGGTAGTGTGGATCACTTTTGTCCACTACCACAGAGAATCGCAGCTCGCCAAACTGCAAGCCAAGTTATGCTCGACACAACTGACAATCAGTGATGGAGACTGGCCTAATGGGAAGCCCATCGCCCAACACTGCCATGATACGGAGCCGCGAACTTGTGACCGCGCACGCAGACTCCTCGAAGACTCCAACGTGCGCCCCTGCGACAGGAACGAGTCCTACGTCTCTACTGGCAGGAATCTGAGTATGTCTCAGTACTTTGGGGATGGAAGCATTGTCACCAAAGTCTCATTTTTGCTTAGGTAAATCTTACTACTTTGCTCTTCACTGCCACCTGCAAGTTATGGTTATCGAAAGGGCGGAATAATGCATTATAGTTTTCGGTATTACTTGGTCTAAATAAGTTTTTATTGGTGATTATCTATGTACAGTTTAGAGTGAATATAAACAGTTTTCTTTCTCTCTCATGTATAGTATAAATAATTTTGAATATGTTTTACCAGATATGAGTTTGTGGAGCGGCGGCAAGCCGGGGAGTGGGCGGGTGACCCGTGCAGTCGAGTTATCAGGAGCGACGGAGCCTCCAGAGGAAACTTGACATTCAGTGCCCCGAGGGACGTTTTTCTATATGGCCGTGGGGGTCGCTCCTTCGTGTCATGCTCATGGCGTCTCCTGGCAGCGGCAGACCAGGTAGTGCGCCTCACCATTGACAGTATCCTCACTGGTTCCTCTGGCTGCCGTACGCAAGTGAATCGGCAGACAAAGGCCTTGCGCTGTATACCCGGGGGATCTTCGCACATGTCTCTGTCTGTATCAGAATGGCCCTGGGCTGAGGTCGAGTTGCCGTTGGCCTGTGTTTGCTCACATGATTCTATACCCATCACTCAGGTTTCTCACGGGCCAGACCTGACCATAAACCTCACCATAAAGGGCATGCTGTCTTATGAAGATTATAGACATTACTTCTTCAATGCCACCTACGAATTTCTTAAGGCTCCAGGATGTATTGGGGCGACTCGAGTTCTCTCAGGAGCTGCTGGGGAAGTTGTTGCAGATTCTTCCCCCTCCAACTCGAAAGGTAGATGCGAAGGGTTTCCCTGGCTTCTGAAAACGCCACCAAAACATTCGCTCTTTCTAACATTGCCTCGTGCTAGCCTCGACAACGGCACTTGTGCATCCGATACTCGATTATTTTTTCATGTTCCAGGAAGAGCTGAGCCAGTGCTCGGAGTATGCCCCGCGGCCGACCAGGCCGCTGCTATAACATTCTTTTGGCCGCCACCCGAGCCTCGAGTTATGAGCCCCCCGCCCCCTGAAGAAGAGTCCAACACCAGCGGCGCTAACGAAGATGATGAAGCTGATGACAAACCCACAAGTCGCGAACTAGATTACCGGGAGTCTGACGGGAGGGAGTCATCTCTGGTGGTGGTGTGGGAACCCCGTAGCGCTTCGAGTCTTCGGCTTCGTTGGCTCACCACCTGGAAACCCGCTGATTCAGAAAGACCAGAAGACGCCTACGTGTCACCCCGCGCTGGTGGTTTGGGAGGGTGGCGAGACGAGCCTCCTGATGTGCCCTGCAAGGAGCTGTGTCCAGAGCTGAGTGCGTGCATCCCTGCAGAGCTCTGGTGTGATGGTCGCAAGCACTGCCCCGAAGGTCAGTGAATACATGCTATGTACTTGTTGATGGTTCAGACCAATCTTATTGTTTGATCTTGTCAGTCAAGTTGTTGGTGCTTACAGTACGTAGTGTAATGCAAAACTGCAGCATAGCTCGTTTGATCAGGAATTGGTTAAAAGAATTTGACATGCTTCGTTTTCAAGACTTGTTGAGGTGTGTTTCCATCCAATTTCTATTATGATTTTATTTCTTGTCGCCAATAGCCCGATGTCTGGTAAGATGCTAGATGTGGGCTCTTTACATTGAATAACTGGCACGGGTTAAGTGCTTCATGAAATACAAGATATGTGGTTGTAAGGATCTAAAGTGCTTCTGGAGTAGGAGGTAGATATTTATGAAGGAATTCAGGGATACCAGTAAACAGGCCTTGAATCCTGTACGTGGGAAGTACGGTTCCTGCATTCTGGGGGAGGGGGTGAAGATGTTACAACTCATTTAAACTGCGATGTCTGCACACTTCTGGCACGACAGCTGTTGAAAGAATGTCGATGAATATTTCCTTTTTTGGGTCCCCCTGCCGTGGTGGGAGACGCCTGATGTGGTCAAAAAATTTAACATGTATTGTCGGCAGTGTCACTCCTGCTCTGGGTATTCTTTCTTGCCAATTAAGGAGTGAAGAAAAACATTATATACAACGATATACGTAAAACAAAACAAAAACAAACAAACAAAAAAAAAGAAAACACTGCCACCAGCAGGATTCAGACCAGCAACATCTATCATGCACCGCTAGTCCGTCCTGCCTGCAAAAGACCACGACGTAGGCGAATACAGTTTTAATGATGCTGAAACCAGTTGTAGTGAAACTCTTAAAGCCGCATTAAGCCCCATCATTCGAAGTGGTTACGAGGGCTATATATTGTTCAGTTCTATTGCTGCGGGTGATATAGGGAAATGAATTGACATTGGGCTCACGGGAAGAGAGACTTCGCCAAAGTACCTTAACTTTTACGTTGCCAGGATGGCTTAATGGTAGAAGTGTGTACAGCTTTGTAGGACAAGCGCTGTTTCTGTCTCGTGCATAGCAAACCGGTGGTTCGAGTCTCTAGCTCTCTTCAAGCAGAATAACCTAAAAGGATTTAGCCTTTCATTTAAAAAAACATATAATAATAACCCTCAGTGTTGTCCCAAATCGCATTTTTGCTCATTCTCTGTGTTAATTTTCGTTTTCGTTTGCAATTTCGCTACTATACTGAACGCAAGACTCTGTTAGATTTCCCATTTTCCTACGAGGAAGTAGCATTACCCAGCCTTGGTACAGAGTGCATCATGACCCATGCAACAGCGGGTGACTGGGAAGGCAGCAGCGTGTATCAACGCTTACAGCCCCATTTCGGTAACGTAGTGGAGCTATTATCTAAAGCTAGTGTGAATTTGTAGGTAGAAACAGGAAGGGTTAGAGCGGGAGAGAGAGAGAGAGAGAGAGAGAGACAGAGACAGAGAAAATGGAAAATGATAGACAGGCAGCCATTCCTAGACAAACAGGAACAGACTGAGACGGAGATCAACAAGGACCAGTTAGTTGGGAGGCAAAACCTGTGGGGAAATCAGTAGGAGTTGTCATGGGCGACGCCTGCCACGAACTTAATGATCCCCCTTCTGCCTGTGGGACCGCCCAGGCTAGATTAATTCACACCTGGCAAGTCATCAGCATGGCTGCCTCGCCACCCGCACGCACACACACACACACACACACACACACACACACACACACACACACACACACATATATATATATGTGCGTACTGTATATACGCTTCCACACTCGCTTCTCTTGCTCTCTGTCTCTTGCTCTCGCGCTCTCTCTCTCTCTCTTGCTCTCTCTCTCTCTCTCTCTCTCTCTCTCTCTCTCTCTCTCTCTCTCTTGGTCTCGCTCTCTTCTCTCTCTCTCTCCTCTCTCTCTCTCTCTCTCTAATGTTATCACTTCCGTCAGTTATTTCAATGAACTACACATTTTTTGTTCACAGTGGTTCATCAGCCTCTTCATTACCATACTGTGGAGGATTTTAAAAACTGTTTCTTTTCCCAGTATAATATACGTTTCCGTCATCTTTGACATCAATTTGGAAAATGCCGACTAGCCTTGCTATTGAAATTTTTAATACTGTTCAGCAAGGAAAAAGAAATATAGTTAACAAGAGGAGATAATGTCAAATACTGCACAGATAATGTCAAAAGTCAAACACTGGATCACGGAGGTGGTATTGATTTTCTGAACAATGTGTGTCACTGAGTTTGCACACACACACACACACACACACACACACACACACACACACACACACACACCACACACCACACACACACACACACTGGAATAAAAATTCCCCGAGTTATCAGTAACCATATTATTAATTGCTATTTAACTAAATGAGAACGACAACCTAAATAAGATTATAGCATAAGACTCTGATTATCAAGGCTAGAAAAATAATCGTTTTAGATACTTAAAAGTATGAAAATTATTATAGTATAAAAAGCCTGAAAGATCCTTACTTTGCTAACAGAAGTAGTAAAGTGTTATAACATCACAGACATGAAAATTCTTTGGAATATTACCAGGTAGAAAAAAATGGCAGTGCCGAATTTCTGAACCTATGAATAATATTGGGTTAATTTAAAAATTGTACTCTCCGTTTATTATAAACATGAAGTTTTTGTACTCTCATATTATTAAAATGAGAAAAGTCTGCTGGACTCTTAAATTATTGAAAGGAGAAAAGTACTTGTACTATTAGATTACTAGAGACACAGAAATTGAAGCAACGAGCAGCATTGCAGTTCGTAAAAGTATTGCTGGAGACAGTGATCCTACCGTTAGCTACACATGCATTTTCCAGCGTGGAATGGCATCGTAATCTTTGAAAAGAATTTGGTTATAGCCTTCAAGGGAAATAGTAATGGAGATGTTGCTTGAAGCAATCCTGTGAATGCTTCGAGTCATCCTTTTGTCTTTCATTGAGCTGGTGCTTTTTACAACGTGTCTTTAATGTCCCAGTTTTACAGAGGTGAGTGGTATGAAGCAGGGAATATTTTTACATCTGGCTCTGTGTGTGTGTGTGTGTGTGTGTGTGTGTGTGTGTGTGTGTGTGTGTGTGTGTGTGTGTGTATGTGTGTGTGTATGTGTGTGTGTGTGTGTGTGTGTGTGTGTGTGTGTGTGTGTGTGTGTGTTGTATGTGTGTGTGTGTGTGTGTGTGTGTGTGTGTTGTTATGAGAAGACCAGTGCAGCCAGTCGGGGTTTAGTAGGAAAAAAATCTGAGTCAATATTCACAGCCTCAAGGAGGATAGTGGTGGTGTTTTGCTTATCTTGAGAATATCTCCTTCAGGTGATGTTCACTTAGTGGTTAATTTTACCGAGGCTAGATTTTCCTTCCCTTTTTAAAATTAAGGCTCATCATATATTGTCCTGGGATAATCAACTAATTTGGGTATCCACTCTTGTATTCTATTATTTACTATTTGAAATAGGTCGGGAACTACGTTTCGCTCTCCAACTTTTTAACAGATCGAAGAATAGAATACACCTAAATAGCGCCGTGGAACGCACAGAGAATCGGCGACATCTTGTCACTCTCGCAATAATTAAGTCGCCGCTTGTGACAGCCTGGAATGGAACGAACCTGACTGTGAACACACTGTTTAATTAATTGATTGACCACTTAATCAATACAGTTACCTGGCAATTTTGGCAAAATGATTCGGCCAGCTACTGCAGAATCTTGTTTTCAAAGTTAAATGTTTTAACACTATGGGTACCTGTCAGTGAATGATGGGGAAGTGTTCCTTAACGCTGGTGAACGTTTCCTGATCCAAGGATCCCTTTCTTGGATTAAGCCTGATTATTATGTATTCCTTAGGCATTGTATGACCCATACGAGTTTAGCTATTTTTATGAATATAACATTTTTTTTTAACACGCTGCCGTCTCCCACCGAGGTTGGGTGAGCCGATAAAGAAACACTTTCACAATCATTCGCACAGTCACTTTCTTGCCAGGGGCTCGCGGATACGACAGTTTAGAAGTCACTCTAAACAGCAAATATCCCAACCCCTCCTTTACAGTGCAAGCACTGTACTTCCCACCTCCAGGACTCAAGTCCGGCTAATAAAAATATATGATATTAATTAAAGAGTAACAGAAACCATTTATCTTACATAATATTGTCACTGTCTTGTTCAAGGATTACGGTGCAAGTGTTTACGTTTCGTCAACATTTCACAGATTTCATATTGTATTACCTCTCTTGATTATCACCTCATTTGTTTCCACCACCATGGACATTAACATCGCACATGTGCAACACTTGTATATATTTATTGAGGAAACGTTTCACCACACAGTAGCTTCAGCAGTTCATACAAAGGAAAATGGTGAAGAACAGGAGAGTTCGAGGTAATCAGTCCCTTGAGTCAACTCAAGGCTGAGGGACTGATTACATCGAACTTCTCCTGTTCTTCACCATTCTCCTTTGTATGGACTGATGAAGCCACTGTGTGGCGAAACGTTTCCTCAGTAAAGATACCCACGTGTTGCACATGTGTCTAATTTATCAACATTAACATCGCATTTGTTTCCACCACCAAAATCATTAACACACTTGTCACTACACTCATGACGGCTGTCTGTTCCCGCAGGTAGCGACGAGATGGTGTCAAACTGTCTGCTGGAGCGAGTGCCATGGCTATACCTTACCATTGTGGTTCTCACGCTGCTAACGCTGCTCTTCATCACCGTATCAGCTGTGCGCCGTCACCGTAACCAGCGGGCCAAAAAGCGACAGCAGGACGCTCGGAGGGTGTCGACCCAGGAGTCCATCCTCCCACCTAAGGAGAAAAGCTTAAGTGCCTATGCTCTCGACTACACCGACATGGACTTTGAGACGACCGTGTGAAGTGTTATGACTTCAGTGGTGGCCTGCTGGGTAGCATTCTTGTTCCTATTTTTTTTTTTATTCTCTACTCTGGTTTTCTAATGTGGTAAAACGTTCCAACTCGAAGACCTCTCTTTGACAAATGAATAATATGTTCTCTCGTTCACACTTAAGTCTTGGCCAAGCTTATAGATAGATACGAACGATATAAGACCTCTTCCATTCTCCTGGACTCAAAATTTAATGTATTGTACACTGCCTAACTTTCTTTCATTTCGTAGTTAGATGTAAACGTTCTTAAGAACACTTTTTTACCTAGACTCTGAGACACCCATACAATGTGTTCACACTTTCTTGCCTTTGCTGGGAATCGACCGTTCATCTTTTATCGCTGTCGAATGAGGACCTATCGACACTAATACTTCAGTTGAATTTGTGAGGCTTTTCGATAATTCTTGTATAGGTTGAAAGATTATTCCCATGCAAAGGTATCATACGCTAACTTTTCTTCGGTAATCGTTCAGCAACTTTTAGTTTACTGATGCTAGGTTGCAAGGCTGTTCTTATGGGCACACTAGGTCGCTGTTGTTGGCTGCTTCTGGTTCCAGGGTTGGGGAACAGTGTTGTCGGTGAGGGATCAGGTAGAGTTAATGAGTAAGGTGGGGAATAGTGCACATAGGCCACTCCCGAGTCCCACTGAGGAAGATATTTGCGAGAGAAATACAAAGACATCGAACATCGTACTGTAGTTCCTCATTATTTCGTGATAAAATCGACACTTAAAGGCGTTGACAACTTAATATTTGAAATAAGTAACAATAGAAAAATTAAATTATTTTGCTTTTGATATATTTTCTTATTATGTCAAGTCATTTGGTTTTAAAGATAACGCCGATGAAAATGGAGGATTTCATTTGTCTTCTTTACAGTTGATTTAATTTTTATTTCACTTCAAGAAACTTCCATTTTTTTATACATTCAAATAAATACAATTCTATATATAAGAGAGATATAAACATCTATTTTACACAAAGTACTTTCTACCACAAAATATTTAATGCAGTTTTCTATCATTGTGTGAAGTGGGAGAGAAAAGTCTGAAATTCAGAAATGATTTCGTGTCTAAATATTTCCACAACAACTTAAATTCACAAAATATCAAAGTGTAATGAACACCTGTGTGAGTCTGAACCCACAGGGAAACAGAAACAAAAGTCTTTGATTTTCTATAAATGCTGACCTTTAAATCTGTTGAAGAGGACCTGAAATCTCAGTACACAACCTAATTTTTATGTTTCCATTTCCATGCGGTTTTGGAAATCTCATCTAAATAAATTCAGATTTATTAAGCATCTTACGTTCTCGTTTTTTTCCCTAAAAGAAGAAAGCCTTTAATGAAGCTGAGATCAGGAACTGGAGCAGATCATTTCGGTGGAGGAGAAGAGTCCGGTGGTTGGAGGCGATACTTTCTTAAAGTCCTGTGATTGAAGGCAAACTAAAATTTTCATTACCAACTTTCGAAGGAAGATAAAATGAAGAAAAAATCAGAAATGTTCCAGCTGCTTCAATATTTTAAACATTTCTATTTTATAAAAAGCTCTGAAAAGGCCTTGAGCGTTCACGTCATTAGCACAGAAGTCTTCATGTGTCTCTCTTCCCCGAGAGCAAGCAACAGCTCATTATAGTTTCAATAAGCGATGAAAGCTTTTTTATATACTCACAAAAATCCCCGCAAATTTGTCTTAATCAAGCTGATGTATCAGTGAATTAATTAATGAACCCTCAAGCCAGAGGTCGATAATATACATAAATCTGCCAAATCGTTAATGATTTTTTCATTAAAGTTATTAATAGGATGAATACAACACTGTTATGTATTCGTGTAGAGAATTACAGGCAAGTTTGGAATGTAATTTTTTTGTATGTGTAGTATCCTACACATACATAAAACATGAAAAAAATCAATAGCTGAGAATTTTGAAATAAATGAGCGCTTTCATCCGCTCACATGTGTGAAAACACATGAAAGTGTTCATTTCCTTTTATTTTCTTTTTTTTTTTTTGCTTATTTTCGAATTTACAGTCACACGTTTTATCGCGATTTCTTCTCGTAGTAATACATCCACACACAGTCACACACACACTCACAGACCCACACACACACACACACACACACACGGTACAGGGAGTGTGACCCAGTAGCGGCCAGTGAAGAGTAGGCGCCAGGAGCTATGACTCGTCCCCTGCAACTACAACTAGGTGAGTACACACACATTCAAGACTCTGTACACGTGAACGTCAGGCCCATACTGGAGCATGCAGCACCAGTTTGGAACTCACACCTGGTCAAGCACGTCAAGAAATTAGAGAAAATGCAGAGGTTTGCAACAAGGCTAGTTCCTGAGCTAAGGTGAATGTCCTACGAAGTAAGGTTAAGGGAAATCGGCCTGACGACACTGGAAGACAGGAGGGTTAAGGGAAACATGATAACGACATACAAAATACTGAGAGGAATTGACAAGGTGGACAGAGACAGGATGTTCCAAAGATGGGATACAGAAACAAGTGGTCACAATTGGAAGTTGAAGAGGAGAGGAGTCAAAGAGATGTTAGGAAGTATTTTTTTAGTTATAGAGTTTTCAGGAAGTGGAATAGTCTGGCAAGTGACGTAGTGGAAGCAGGAACCATATACAGTTTTAAGAGGAGGTATGATAAAACTCATGGAGCAAGGAGAGAGGATCTAGTAGCAATCAGTGAAAAGGCAGGGCCAGGAGCTATGTCACGACCCCTGCAGTGAGTACATATAGGTGAGTACACACATACACACACACGAACACGCGCGAGCGCGAGCGCACACACACACACACACACAGGCGGGGTCCCACAGGGGTCGGTCCTAGGACCAGTGCTATTTTTGGTATATGTGAACGACATGACGGAAGGGTTAGACTCAGAAGTGTCCCTGTTTGCAGATGATGTGAAGTTAATGAGGAGAATTAAATCTGATGAGGACCAGGCAGGACTTCAAAGAGACCTGGACAGACTGGACACCTGGTCCAGCAAATGGCTTCTCGAATTTAATCCTGCCAAATGCAAAGTCATGAAGATAGGGGAAGGGCACAGAAGACCACAGACAGAGTATAGGCTAGGTGGCCAAAGACTGCAAACCTCACTCAAGGAGAAAGATCTTGGGGTGAGTATAACACCGAGCATGTCCCCGGAAGCACACATCAATCAGATAACTGCTGCAGCATATGGGCGCCTGGCAAACCTGAGAACAGCATTCGATACCTTAGTAAGGAATCATTCAAGACACTGTACACCGTGTATGTCAGGCCCATACTGGAGTATGCAGCACCTGTTTGGAACCCGCACTTGATAAAGCACGTCAAGAAACTAGAGAAAGTACAAAGGTTTGCGACAAGGTTAGTTCCAGAGCTAAGGGGAATGTCCTATGAAGAAAGATTAAGGGAAATCGGCCTGACGACACTGGAGGACAGGAGGGTCAGGGGAGACATGATAACGACATATAAAATACTGCGTGGAATAGACAAGGTGACAAAGACAGGATGTTCCAGGGAGGGGACACAGAAACAAGAGGCCACAATTGGAAGTTGAAGACACAAATGAGTCAGAGAGATAGTAGGAAGTATTTCTTCAATCATAGAGTTGTAAGGCAGTGGAATAGCCTAGAAAATGACGTAGTGGAGGCAGGAACCATACACAGTTTTAAGACGAGGTTTGATAAAGCTCATGGAGCGGGGAGAGAGAGGGCCTAGTAGCAACCGGTGAAGAGGCGGGGCCAGGAGCTAAGGACTCGACCCCTGCAACCACAAATAGGTGAGTACAAATAGGTGAGTACACACACACACACACACACACACACACACACACACACACACACACACACACACACACACACAACGCCCCCCAACTCCTAATCCACGCTATTATCTGATCACTGGAGGTTAGGAAAACACTAATATGGAATGCTGCCGTTCTTGTATTTGTATTCGTATTAGCGATATGTAGAATAGCAATATCTTTTTTATAAGAGTATAGGATAAAATGCTTAGTAAGAGCCTAAAAGAGTTATCTACTGGGTGCTTGTGTAGGGTGAAATCTTAAACCCCACAAACGAGTTTTATCACACACACACACACACACACACACACCATCATATATATTATATATATATATATATATTAATATATATATATATATATATATATATATTATATATATTATATATATATCGTGCCGAATATGTAAAACTGGTCAATTAGCAAGAACTCATTTAAAATTAAGTCTTTTCTAAAATTTTCTCTTATACGTTTAAAGATACATATTTTTCATTAATGTTAATGTAAAAAAAATTAATTTTGCTCCAAAAGAATCTTAGAAAACTTACCTAACCATATTATAACAAGAATAATTTATTTTAGCCAAACCCAACTAAATATATTTTAGATTTGTTTACAATAATTTAAAACTAAACAAACACAGTGGAAAATATTTTTTTCGTTAGGTTCAGAATGATTTTGGAGAAATTATTGCATACACAAATTTTCACTTGTCCTATATGGCAAGATGAGCGTTGCTATTTAAGCCAAGATGGCAAGTTCTGCCTATTCGGCACAACATATATATATATATATATATATATATTTTATATATATATATATTATATATATATATATATATATATTATATAATATATATATATATAATATCTGTTGCATGCAGGGGATGAGATGAAAAGCTGTAAGCCTTCTCCCTGAAAGCTGGCTGCCTTGGATCAAACGTGTAGCGCAAGCTACACGCCAAGGTATTGTCCAGTGTGGGTAGATTGGTAAAGCACTGCGTACCTTGTCCTAAGTGTTTCGAGTCTCCTTCAGCCAGAGATCAGTGTTTGAGTATATTTCGCCTGCTCTCGCGAATTCCTTGCATATATATTATATATATATATATATATATATATATATATATATACAGGGGTTGTAGGAAGAAAACTCTTAAAAGTCCTTCTAAAATTGATTTTACGCTCCCAGATACATTTTTTAGAGATGTAAATTCTATATTCTAAGAATTTAGAAAACTACTATTATTATAACATATATTATTATACTAACATAAATATATTTTAGATTTTTACATAATTTAATATAACAAACACATAATACATTTTTGTTGGTTGAATGTTTGTGGTGAATTATTGCTGAAATGTTCACTTGTAGTGTGTGTGATAAACGTTTGCTATTTAAAGAATTTCCATCTCACAATAGTATGAAATACACAGATAACACTAGCAGGGGGGAGGATAATTCTTGAACAGAAGCTTCGAGGGAGGAGACATTGAGTTTCGTCCCAGTGAACAGTTTTAGAGTGGTGGTGACCTCTATAGTACTATTATAATTAAATGTATAAATAGCTGATATATATATAATATATATATATAAATATATATATATATATAATATACACATGATGTGTGTGTGTTGTGTGTGTGTGTGTGATAAAAACTCGTTTGGTGGGGTTTAAGGTTTCACCCTCTTCAATAGGTGTGAAATACGACCAGATAACACTGAGCAGCAGGGGGAGAGGGATTCTCTTGAACAGGGAAGTGGGGGAGGAGAGGAGAGCACGAGGTGAGATGAAAGGAGCTGGAGTGGGGTGAAGAGGTACATTAGTGAGACTTGAAAGGGGTGTAAAAGAGCTGAAGTAGGCATAAAGAGAAACAAAAAGGGCATAGTCAGAGATGCATAAAAGAGCCAGACTGAGGAAAAAAGGAGCCAGACTGTAGCATAAAAATGCATAGGCGAGACAAAATAGCTGATATAAATTAGTGCAAGAGAGGAAAGAATATTGGAAAGTAGAGAACAGAGGAATAAAGAATCAGATGAGCAAAGAGGAGAGAATTTGCAAGAGGATAAATGTGAAGATCAATGGATAGAATGGGAGAAGTGAAGAGCAAAACTGTGGATGAATGTACGTGGTAATGTGAGAGAGAGAGAGAGATTGAGAGAGAGACACAGAGAGAGGCAGTGAGTAGAAGAGTAACTACAGTGACAGCTGTGGGTTTTGGAGGGGTGGCTGGTCGGGTGTTCAGGAGGTCGGACAATCGGAGGGTCGGAAGGTGGCAGGGTCGGAAGGTGGCAGGGTCGGAAGGTGGCAGGGTCGGGTCGCAGAAGGATCTGGTGGTCGGAGGATAGGATGGTCGACTGTAGGAAGAACAGGAATTTTTAAATAAAATAATGTACAACAGCAGTGTGCTGCTGTACATAAGGAAAAGGAAGCGGAATTAAAGTGCGGTGAAGGAATGGATGTTGGGGGGTGGAAGGAGCTTATCTGTGAGGCAGGGTAGAGGGGACTGTCTGTGAGGCAGGGTATAGAGGACTGTCTGTGAGGCAGGGTATCGAGGGCTGTCTGTGAGGCAGGGTATAGAGGGCTTTCTGTGAGGCAGGATAGAGGGGAGTGAGGCAGGGTAGAGGAAACTAAGGGATGGCCGCAGCATTTCATGCAAATCTGGGTCGAGGTGGGAAAAGGAACAAGGTGTTTACGCGAGAGGTGAAGATGAAGAAAAGATTATTTATGCCTCACAGATATGGCTGGAGTAACAAGAAGTGGAAGAGAAAGAGCATTAGGATGGCAAGTTCAGCAAGAAACGAGGAGGAGGTAGAAATGCCTGGAAAAACAATGTTACAGTCTATATCGAGATAATGTGAGGAGAAAAACTAAATCATTTCTAAATACCATTCCTTCCTATAAGATGAGATCAGGACAATAAAGCGTAAGGCTCTCGATCTCTCACTACATGAATAAATGGGGCAAAGAGAAGTGTCATACCATACTGAAAAATGATTTTCAATCAGAACAACATGCTGTCTCACAGGTATGTAATAGGGGCCTAATATTTGCTTACTCTTATATTTTTGTAGCTTTCCGCCCACTTTTATACATCTTTTGCTTGACGTCAGTCATCACCACCAATGTTTTCTTCAAACCAGCAGATTTCCAAATATTGTCGTTTCATATTTTTTGTTATTAAAGGGAATTATTTCATATTCATAGACACTGTAATTAATTTTGAAAGTCTCCACAAATGTTCCGGCTTATTCCGTTCCCTCCTAATTTCATGTCACTATGTCCCATTCTATGATTATTTATGATAATTATGAAAGCATAATGGCCGAGGAGCGATCATTCTAAATAGGTATAGACGCTAAGATTCCTCCCCGCTGTAAACCTTTCACACTTTCCTATCTATGAAGTTGCAAATGATGAAGTCCCAAAGTTTATCTCTTGTAACAGCGACTTTATTTTGCCTCACAATCTCTCAGGAGTACAACGGAGAGGGACTATATTTTGGTATGGCTCACCACTGTGACAACAGTACCAAATTTGACTCAGATATATGTTAAGGATTTGGGAATCTGTATAAGCTTGAGGTTCCATTCACCAGAGCGCTGAAATCCTGTTTATTAAAGGAAGCAGTAAAAATAATTTTTTTAACAGCCTAAGTTATGTGTCATAATATAACTTTAAAATAATCCTGATTAATAAAGCTATAGTATAATAGTCTTCTCTAGATTTTTAGTGATTTTCCATGTATTATTTGCCATCAAATCTGAAGACGACCCCCTTAATAAGCTCATTAGTCTAGATATAACTTATATGGCAGATAGAGCTATAAAATATTCATGTGTGTATCACTTATTCAAAATTTCTCTATTTCTCGGTGTATATTGTAGATGATTTTGTCTAGTTAAACAGTGATATTATATCATCAGGCAAGCCGGTTTTAGGACTGGCTTTCTATGGGTTCGAACCATGTGTTCGGTGAACCACCAGAATATATTTTCATCAGATGATCAAACACAAAATGAATTTCTTCATATTTATCTACTCTTTAAAAAGCATAGCTGGTAGTGTGGAATTGTGACTCAACCAACAACTCTTAGCTGCACCATTGTAATTAAAAAGTAAATAAATTAGCTTCACATGATTTTCAAATAAATTCAGTTTGCTCTTCGGTTTAATTTATTTCATGTTTTCGAGATTTTAAAATCTCGTCAGTGACGATTTTTTTTTTCGTTTATTTTCAAACAGGAATATGACTAGAAAAAGAAAGAGGTGTGGGTAGAGTCAGAGGAATTAAATGATGAAGTAGAAAACAGAGGTATAGCATGTGAAGAAGCTTGAGGGAGTATTTATATACAAACACTAAAAATCTTTTTTAAAATACCAATCCTTAAAACAATTTCTCTTTTTAT